ACTTGCTGGGCAAGCTAACTAGCCTGACTCCTCACCCTGAGCTTTGGATTTTACCCTCCAATTTCAGTGCTGACTGATTACAATGCTCACATGATATGATAATCCCAATTTAACCCAATTAAGCTTGTTGCACGAGCACAACAAATGGTTGTAAGGTCACTCTGGAGATTTGTGGAACCTCATGTTCTGCAAAGGAATTACAAATGAAGGATACAGACTCCAATATTTATCAGAACATTCATTGCAAGAAACACTGGGTCATCTTATTGAAAAGGAAACTATTAAAATTTGTAATCATGCAAAGGTAGCATATCTGACTTATATTTAAAAATAATTTGCAGGAGCTAATACATGCTTTGAACATACAGAACAAAACACAAGTCTATGTTGCATAGTAATGCCTGGGCTATTTTAGATACAAAATTATTGTTTTACATGGAGTATTTTAATGAAGTTGTTTGAATTTGTAATGAAATTCATATATAATTGCTATCATTATGGCTTGTTGCACAGTCAATCAGATGTTTACACAGAATGTGGCTTTTTATCTACCTATCAAGTCCTTCCCAAAAAACCAGAATAGGCAGATGATGTTGTTTGCTGGTGTTAAAGATACCATTGCAGTAAGCTGTTCCAAGTAAAGGTTCTTTTGCAGTTAATTGATGATTCTTCTCTTCTCTTCTCTTCTCTTCTCTTCTCTTCTCTTCTCTTCTCTTCTCTTCTCTTCTCTTCTCTTCTCTTCTCTTCTCTTCTCTTCTCTTCTCCTCTCCTCTCCTCTCCTCTCCTCTCCTCTCCTCTCCTCTCTTCTCTTCTCTTCTCTTCTCTTCCTCTGCTCTTCTCTGCTCTTCTCTTTTCTGCTCTGCTCTTCTGCAGCTGCCAATTTCAGCAAGTAACTCTATTATTACTATCAATATTTTATCAATGCATCAGTCCTAAACTTTTATTTCATTGAAAAAATGTAACCCAAAAAGAAAAAAAATCACATCTTGAAGCAAAGCAAGCACTAAAGTCAGCTTACAAATGCATAAAAATATATCCTAACAAAATGGGGGCAACCAGTTAAGAACCGTGATGCATATCTGCTGTGCTTTTATTATGCCACCAGTTAGCATGGCAGGCTTGTTGTAATCCTATCTAAGAGGAGAAGCTTCAGATCTGATTATAAATTTTGTAGTAATTAGATGGAACAGTTGCCATCTGGAGACCAGCATCTTACATATATAAAGCACCATAATCCCCTGAGAAGCAATTGCTCAATCCTTCTTGATGCAGCCTTTTCATTGACTGGAAGGAATCTATGGCAAGCTGCGTAGGGCCACAAAGAAAGAAACCCATAGAATTGGATGATCTAGACTCATTTGCTCTACTAAAAGTAAGGACACCAGGAATTATTGCTCTTGGAATAATCTCTCATTATTTGGCTAGCTGAATATCATTATCAAAAGAATTTATTAGGGGGATGAAAACGGCCCTGAATTTATGATCTGAAAGCTGGAATAATGATATTAAAAACCAAGATATTGAAGCTCAGTTTCAAAAGATGATTCACACCAGAGGAAAGTGTGAATACTAATGGGAAAAATGTATAGGAAAGGATTTTTTCTGTCAGTGCTTCAGTAATTCAGGATTTTTCCCCACACAGACAAAAAAGAAAATTTAAAGAAGAAATATGCTAGAGTTAAACTAACTTGACATGGAATGTTTTAATTTAATTTATAGAGTACTACTTGTTTTCTGTGTAAGAAAGCCTAATCTGAGAATTAGTAGGGAGCTTTCAATTATTTTCTAGCTGTTCTTCAGAAAAAGAAGACCAAGATTTTATTAGATATAATCCTGAGCAAGTATTACGAAACCACTAGTCTAGTTATTGTATGTTAAGAATGTTTTTCCTATGTTAAAGTGTTCAGCATATTATTCAGTATTTTTATGGTACATTTTTAAATTTGAAAGATCATTTCAAAGAGGAGCTATTTTTTTAATATTTAGAAATGATAATTGTGGATCAAATAGTAGCATGTAGTGCAGATGTAGATGTAGTGCAGTACATCATCATAGTACTTCTATGACCTGCAATTATATACTTGATATACAAGAATCAAAATGAAATTCTAAAACCATCTCCAGATATGTGTGCATAGGATTGCTCAATTGACTATGAAGCAAACATAATGCATCTACATTTAGAACATCTGCTGCTAAGGCTAGAAACAAGACAAAAAATATATATCTTCTTTTACTCTTTGATAAGATATTTCTAACTTCAGTTCGTATTGAAGCTTGAATCATGCTGTTGCTTCTTAGTACCGTAACGCAAAGTATGTATGCCTTTTTCTCATAATATTAGAACTTTGGGCTGTCCAGTGAATCTAAAAGGTGGAAGATTCAGGAAAAACGAAAGGAAATATATGTAGTACAGCTTCAATTCTATCACCTGTATTAGATGAATTTATTTATTTAGCATGTGGTGAAGGTGTATCATACATGGATTTGCAATATTTATTTACATTTCATCTAGATAAAAAACACAGTAAAATATGAATGTTAAAAAGATCTGTATTTAGATAGCAATGTCTAGGCAATCATTGAAGTGCAGCATCATTTATGTGAGAAAAAAAAAATCAGATACTGGACTGGTATATGCCCTCAGCTTACAGTCAGTTGTGATGTGATCTACCATTTGATGTGGGAGCCTGCAGTTACATTGAGGGAAGGATGTGCTTATGAAGTGCGAATCTGATTCAAGGTTGTTCATTGCTAGTGTGGTAGTTCAAAACCTGGCATCTTTGGTGCAGGGTAATTTATACATCTACCTATGCTGGACTTTCAACAACCATTTGGCTTTCCATTGAGAATCAATGTTCATGTTGTTAAGCAGTTTAACCCGTGAGGACTTCCTGGATTTGAACCTTTCAATGGATAAATGATGAAGGTTGGTGTGCACTGATAGGTGTGAGTTGTTCATAATTGTTCATATTTTGTCTGAATCCTCTCACTAATGCATCTTGCTTTTGTAAAACTGGCAGTGCTATATAGCTCAGAATAGAAAGCCAGCAATTTTGGGTAACTTTAATGCATCTGCTTATAACCCTCATGATGTCATTGAGTCTGGTGTCTAGCTTACTAGTATGGCAACTGTTGAGCCATATTGTAGCACGGCATTCTGCGGTGGAGTAGACTAGCCCTAGTGCTTATATTCTGCTGCTCATTTAGTTCTGTTTAGTTTCTGGACTATGTTTTGAGTTTTCTGCTGCATTCTGTAGATGCGTCTTACAGGATAGAGCCCAACACAGTGAAGTGGAAGCATGAAGCTACCATTTTGTTGGTGCTAGGAGTAAGCCTCCAGTCAGTCAGTGAAGAATTTTGCCTAGATTTTTGGATATCTATCTATCTATCTATCTATCTATCTATCTATCTATCTATCTATCTTCATAAGTACATTTTAAAACCCAATTATGTGGAACAATAGTATGCAAAAAGGATTGCCCACTTAGCTCACAGATGGGCTTTCCAGAAATATTTTGTTAACTTCTAAGATAAATAGATTGCTGCAGTGAACATAACTTTTTTCTATCCAGTAAAGCTGGATTCTTATATATGTAGAATATACCTGTTAGTTCACTACACACAACAATTGATCTAGAACCAATATTATTTAATTGTAAGCCTTTGGCTCTTTTATTTAATATTTGGTTTGATTGTGTCAAAGCATCTTGTAAGAGCTCAAAAGAATATTTTCCCCCATTTTGAATACAGGGAGAATCTTGGCATTGAAAATACACTCCTAATATACTCTACTCAAGATTAATAATTTAATAAACAGAGGGGTTGGGAGGCAGAAGGAGAAAATTTAACAAGAGATTAAAGGTTAGATTGGTAAAGTAGATAGCAGCATTTGAGTTTTGGGGATATACAATTATATTTGAAGAACAGAATCTTCTAAATTTGTCAATGGAGCCAGAGTTTTTGCCTCCTTCACTGTATTTCAAAAAGTGGTTTGGGAGCATAGGTCATTTCTCCTGGACAAGATAGAATTTTCCTCTTGCAGGATACTGTTCAATGATGAATCCATCTGAATTCTGTGAAGAACTGAACAACATATTAAGGAAGCCCAAAAGAAATTAAATGGACTATGAAATATTTAATCATATGAATAAAAAAACAATATTTGTACAAAGTTAACTTGGGTTTTGAGATGGACACACCACACATGATTTTTAATAAGCATAATAATAAAAGCTTGAAAATACTTGGTTATAAATTAATTTATACAAGAACCATTCCTGAAGGAAGTTGATTCTTCCATTTTTCCATGTTTTTCTCATCAAACAATATCCAAATTGTAATTAACAGCTGAGTGTTAAATTCTGAGTGTCCATGGGTATATTGAATAAGACATATGTATAAGTACTCTGTCTCTCTGTCTCTCTCTCTCTCTCTGTGTGTGTATGTGTTTGTGTGTGTGTGTGTGTGTGTGTGTGTGTGAGAGAGAGAGAGAGAGAGAGAGAGAGAGATCAGTACAAGGCTATAGTGAATTTTTTTTTCTGGGTTGTGCTCCAGATTTCTTTGCAAAGCTTTGATTTGCTGGATTCATCAACCTTAAACAACATAAAAAATATCCTTCTAATAAAAATGTTTGCAATGTAAAAATAGGAAATGTTGCAGTTATGTTTGCTGTTGAAACAAAATCCCTCTAATTGTTATTCGGGTGTGACTAAGTACCTATTGCTAAGTAAAAATATCTATTGTACCAAAATAAGATCTGTGAAAATATGTTGGAGAATTCTGCTTAAACCTGCAAGTAAAGATATCAGCCAGATCCTACCAGTCTTTGTGAAATTTGGAGATAACAGCATGGACCTGTTTAAATCATTGATCTTGGCAAGCATTACTGCTGTTGCTTTTGTTGAAATCTCCTTTGTTGGCTGTACATACATTAGGAAAATGTTCTTCTTGGGATTGTGAGGGAAAACATTGACTTCTTCCCTCTTCATTTACAGATTGCTTTTAGAATGAGTAAAACATCTTCAACCAACAACTCAGTGATCCAACCTCGCAGTTCAAAGAGTGAACAGTCTTTATCTGTGCACCCATCCAATGTCATTGAACCTAGTATGGCCAAACGGGTCTGCTTTTATAAGAGTGGAGATCCTCAGTTTAATGGAATTAAAATGGTTGTCAATAGCCGTTCTTTCAGATCATTTGATGCTCTGCTTGACAACTTGTCAAAAAAAGTTCCACTGCCTTTTGGAGTAAGGAACATTACTACACCCAGGGGAGTGCACAATATCAATAATCTGGAAGACCTTGAAGATGGAAAGTCATACATTTGCTCCCAACAAAAAAAAATCAAACCCATAAATTTGGAGGTGGCCAGAAGAAAGCCATTGCCATGGCAGATTAGTAGGCCCATCAGTGCTCGTCGTAAGGCTGTACAGTTAACCAGAGAAAGCAAAGGGAGTATGTTCCAACAGGGTAGCACAATACGACTGAGCACCCCTAAGAAGTTGCTGGTTTTCAAAAATGGCAATGCAAAAATCCGGTGTACAGTTGTCTTGGATAAGAAGAACACACAAAGTTTTGAGGTCTTTCTGGACCACATCAGTGAATTAATGCAGTATTCAGTGTTGAAATTATATACTACTGATGGGAGAAAGGTAAGATAACTATAAGATAATCAAATATGTTTCTTTTTGTGGAATTGGGAGAGGGACTTCTTGTGAATCACACAATATCTCTGATGAAATGTTCTTCAGTAGAGGTACTTTTACTGTCAAAGTAGACCTTCAAAAGAGAAACACTTTCACTAAACTTTTATAGCAAATATTGAAACTGAAGCATATGGAGAGATCAATCATTTTTTCTAATTTTACTAAAAGCATATTTAGTAGGGTAGTGATCTGGTTGGCAAACAAATAAAATGAATAAAATAAATTTTACTCAGCTGTTGGTACTAGTTGGTCGACTTCTCACATTTCAGCATCCATATAATAGTTATTTATTTATAGCCCATTTTACAAACCAAGTGACTCTACGACAAATTTATTGTTAAATTTTTTACCACAGAAATCAAGAAAAGTGGTCTGCCGCCTTTCCAAATCTTTTACATTTAAAAAGCTGAGTTACATTATCCCAAATTCCCTAGTTATTACTAGATGCTTCAGTATTAAGAACATGATGGAAGTCTTGGAAGCATAAAGTAAGGAGATCTTGGTATATGCAAACAACTAGCCTTGTTTTAATCTGCACATTCCTGTTCTACTTCATCTGTGTACTCTTGTTAAGGAGCTTTTCCAGGGCATCTCTAGGAGCGTCCTCAATCTTACTACTAGCAATTAGGCACATCATAATCTCTTAAAGGCTATATTATGCTTAGACTTCTCATGAGGCATAATTCTTGTCCCCCCCCCTTTCCATTTTCCCTATTCACATCTTTACTTTGCCCCAGAAAGCAAGTACAAAAATGAAATCCCTTTGTCGATTAGCATCATTTGGACTCATCTTGTAACATAAAAAAAAACAAAAAACCAATGATTTTTCAGGGCAAATTATTGTTATATGTGTTTCTGTGCATTAAAATTGCATATAATTCTGTGTATTACAGACTTCTGTGCAGTGTTTTTTTTAAGACAGCACTAAGTTGTTCTTAAAATTAATTGGTAGGAGAAAAGTGAAGCTATCATGCCTTCTTCCATCACTATTGCATAGAAATAACAGCTTGCCAAAGCTCATTTTAAAATTAAAACAATTTGGGGATTTGTTTATCTCTAATATTTATTTAGGTTCACATTGCTAAACATTACATTTTATTTAAATTTTGAAAAATTACATTGATTGTGACGCTAAACCCTAGTGAGAGTTCCAAAGCTGTAACCTTGAGTTCCAACTGCAAACAATTCTTGGAAATACACACACACACACACACACACGCACACACACACACACACACACAAACTGTAAACACATACATTCCTTATGATTTCATAGGAGTGAACATACTTATGCAGGCAGAAGAGCTAGCCTTCTCTAAATGTCTCCCTGCCTGCTGTCTTCCAGCAGATTTTTGTTTTTCAAAAAACACAGTTGAAATATTTTAAGTTTTCTTTTCCCAAGATGTCTGTAGTTTACTTGTTGTGGCTTTGATGAATATTTAATATTAATATTTCTTTATCATACAAGAAAAATGCAAGTACTATGATGATAGAAGAGATGGGTTTTAATTATGATTTAGGGCTTTAACATCTCTTTTAAATGTTAATTATGTTAAGGCTGCAACATTTTATTTAAAAACTTTCATTGTTAACATGAACTTTTCTTTTACATTAGGAACAGATAACATGATACCTACCAGCATTGCTTGCATTTACAGATAACTACTTGCTAGACCAATTTTTGCTGAAATATGGCACAGGTTTATAAAACTTTTTAAAGTTTTCAAATGAGAATATTTCAGTTACTCAACCTAGTTTTCTGTAGAATTTTTCTGGTTCCCAGGGAGATTTGAAGGAAGTAGAGATGGGTAGCTGGTAGAAAACATGATAGATCAGCCTGAGAAAGGGAAAATCTTGAAGTAAAGATTGTGATGTCCTGAAGACACCTCTCAAAAGCTGATGGAATTCTGAAATTTTGAGAGCTGGCGGAGAGCAGAATCCACTTGCTGTGCCAGTCAGCTGTTCTGTATTTATTGATGGTGTAATAGCAATGGAACCACAGTGTTCCAGTTTTTAAACATTTACCAGCACACCACTGAGTAGAGGTGATCAGGAAAGGATCAGAAGGATGTAATATAAAAATAAGTGTCCAACCAAATAAAGCAAAAAGACCAGGGTTGTGATAAGGCAATCTTAAAATGTCCAAAAATCCAAGAGAAGGAAGCATTCAGATTGTGGCTAACATTGGAAAGGATTTTCTTTCCCTTTATGTGTGTCTGTGCAATACAAGCTAAATGTGGCATACATCCAAAGTTTTTAAGCTAGGTTAGTATTTATATTATTTCCTCCATCACTACCAATACCACCACCACTAACCAATTGCTAGTTTTTTTGCCAGCCCAAAGTAATTAATTTGGTAACTGGGTTAAATATGCTTTGTTTATTTGTTTATTTAATATGCCACTCATCACACTCTACAAAGTGACTATATAAATGAAACCAATTTTGGGGATGTTTTCTAATAGTTATATATGAGAAAGAAAGGTTGGGGAAGTGATCTAAAAAACGGGTTAGTTTATGAGTTGCTTTTTTTTTTTTAGGTCTCCAACCTCCAGGGTCTGATATTATGTTCTGGAGCTGTTGTGGCTGCAGGGAGAGAACCCTTTAAGGCAGGGAATTATGATCCTCGTAGGTATTCATTGCCTGCAAGACTTCCGGGGATCTCCAGTCGTGTCCACCCCCAAGCAAATCTCAAGTCAGAGAGCAGAAAAAGTAAGTTCCTTAAATTATCCCCACTTTTCCTCATTCTGTTAAATGATTGATAAGGTCAGCCTTAGCATCAGGTAAAACAAATTGGCTAGCTTGGGAAACTGATTTTGGGTATCACAAAAAAGATAACAAATGGTTAATTAGTTAATATGCTGCTGCTGCTGCTGATGATGATTTAGCCTTGGCATTGGGGAGACAGAGAGGGGCAGGCAACAGTGTTATTTTCTGCTTTAGGTGCCAAAATAATTTAACTTGCTTTCACTCTCCACTTTGAAATTGAAAGAATGTGAAATGTCTTTTGTTCTCTTCAGAAAACAGGATATCTTTGACCTGCCTTTATATTAAGAAAAAAAAAACACAGGCAAATCTCAAAGACCAGACTGAACATTACCAGTAGTCATGGATCAATCACTTTGTTTCATCGCAATCTACTTTGCTGGATTGCTATAAAGGGCAACTGTGAATACTACTTTAAGATACTTGATCATTGAGTAGGTGAAAAAATAGTAGTTAAACAAACAAACAAATTAATAAATATGAGAAATAAAATACATTTACTGGTACATTCAGTAGCTGAGCAATCTAACTATAACTTAAGCGAATTTAAGAATTCAAAGTGAAAATCCCAGAAGAACATGAAGTCTTGTCTTAACACTTGGAGATTTTACTTGGTGTCCAAAAGCTTTCATATTTACAAAATGTGACTTTGGGCTGTTAAATGTTACATTAAACCAACATTAAATGGACAACAATAGCATATTTAGGGGCACTCTAACTTGTTTTCTGTAGTCCCTCCCATAGCATCAGGCAGAATTGTCACCATTATCTTTCAGTCACCTTCTGTCCTTAAAAACAGAATTATGATGATTATGGAAGCAAGGATAATGGGGTAACTGTACCCAGTAAATTGATTTTTATAAAATTTGTAACAAATTTTTACATTTTTAAAAATTTCTTCAAGGAATATTTTTATTCATGGAAATGGCATAGACAAGTCCCTGTAGGTTTCTTTGGTAGGTTTTTTTTTTTTTCAAAAGGGCTTTGTCCTTGCCTGCTTTTAGGGCTGAGAAAGAGTGACTGGCTCAAGATGATCCAGTTGGGTGTGGGTCGAAGGCAGGACTAGAATTCATAGTTTCCTGATTTCTAGCTTGGTGCTTTAAGCACTACACCAAATTGTTTGATTGCTTGATTATAGCTATACTTTAATATGCTTGATTGTAGCTATACTTTAATTGTTAATTGTTGCATACTACTGGCATTAAGTAATAAGGCTGTGGGGTACTTTAGATTCCAAAGAGGTGCTTTGGGACACTTGGGGGTTCAGACAAAGCATTTGCCAGCTCTTTAAAGCAACTAAGTGATCTGGAGAAGTGGTGCAGCTGTTTTAGAGACCAGTAGGCAAGTACCATGCCTATGTTCCCACACATTCCGAATTAGATTTTTTTTGGAATTGAATTTGAAAAATGCACAGCTGTATGAATTAGACCTTTAAATAAACATGTGCAGCTCAGGATAGATGTTAGAAAATCAAGGGAATCACTTTCTCTGATTCTTCTAGGAAAAAAAAGAATGAAAAGATTAAAAGAAAAAAGAAATATAGTATGTTCATGTGTTGGCAACTTCTTTCTCCACAGTTGCCTGCAATCCTAGGAAGAGTTTGCTTTAAAACTTGACAATAGATGCTGAGTGAATATTCCCATGCACCTATAAGCACTTTTATCTGAAACACTGTGCAACCATACACATGTGTTTAAACAACCCAGCTTTTGATGAATGTTATATAATTATTTATTTTATTATATCAATTTATATAGCAGTCTCACAATTGCTAAATTAATAAAAAGGAATTTCAGTGCATATGTAGCTCCTTTATTAGGGATGCTTTTTTTGTTTGTTTTTGTCTAATTTAATGTTATCTGCATGTTTTGTACTAACAATGATTTTTTTTTGTATGTTTTCTTTTGCCTCTATGCTGCCTGTCTGCTGCTATTTTTATGGATGATTATGCTGGATGACTATCTTCCACACTTTAATCTAACCTTGTCATGTTGGGTGCTTTCAATAAATTGCTTGAAAGTGAGCGGGATTCAGATAGATTCAAGATCCAGAACTCAGATGTTCTCTGCTTCTTCTTATAAGGAATACAGCAATGATAACAACTCAGATTCCTCTTTTATACCTGACAATGAAATGGGTACACTAAACAATTGTTTGCATGCTGATGAAAATTACCCTGAAGAGCATTTCACTGATGACATTGAAAAGTCTGTTCATCTTAATCAAGATGGCAGTATGACAGTTGAGATGCGAGTTCGATTCAAGATTAAAACAAAGGAAACTATAAAATGGACCACTACTGTTACACATGCTGGCACTTCAGCAGTCATTCCAGAAGATGAAGCATCTGATTTAAATATTTTGACATATAAAAATCCCACAGAGGAGTTCAGCATTCCTGAAAATAATGTCCCAATGCAGCAAATCTGTACAAAATTGATCAATCAAAATTCTGCAAATCAATTGAAAACTAGCACTGATGACATCTGGCAAGATCCACTGTTGAACACAGAGTTGAGGCAGGAAAGAAATAATGATCTTAAACTTAATTTCTGTAGACCTCCTACTCCTGGACCTAGAAAAGTCAGACAAAAGAAAGCATTAGTTGAAAGTGTTACAGTGGTATCAGATACAACTGTCCAAAAAAAGACGATAGGTCAATTTTCTGTCAGTGAAGAAATGGACAATGGCAAAACCAAATCTAAGCACTGTATGATTACTCATGCTAGCAGCCAAATAACGAATGTTACTAATCCCCAAATTAGTGGCATATGCAATAATCATACAGTGAATCAAACTCAGACTGACCAAGAGGAGAAACAAATGTTGAGCAAAGGCACAATTAAAAAGTCCTCTGATCTGCCTGAAGAGGATAGATTATTACATAATGATTTGGAGAAATCACTTGTAGAGAAAGGGTTACCTAACAGTTTAGCACTTGAAGGTTATTCTAGTATTGGACAAGAACAATCTTTAGTAAAGAGGAATAATACATCTATACTGGGCTTATCTAATAAATGTGATGATGTAGAACAAGAACTAAATTCCTTCAACCACCATTCAGAATGGTCTCAGTTAAAAACTGAAGAAATTATATATGACCAATGTCAAATACACAATTGTTCCTCATCATTGCCTCCTAAAAGCAATAATACAATTTGTAAATATGCTCCAATGACTGCTACATTAACAGGATCTGATTGTATTACTGCTACAGTCCTCTCTGATGAAAGCCAAGCTACATCATCTAGTGACAAAAAGAAAAAGAAGAAAAAGAATAAATTAGATGTTGTGAAACAAAATGTAAGTTCCCCAAAGAATTCATATGACATTTCCACTGAAGGTACTATAAAGAAAAATATAAACACCTACACAATTCACAACACAAGAGAGACGATGAATCATTCTCCCACCCAGTTAGTGGTTCATAAAAGAGAGCTTGCATTTCCTATTGGAAACTCTGACGGTGCTATTAAAACTGTGAACACCAGAGGTGATTTATATAGCCAAGTTTCAATCACATCCCAGCAGAATGACTTAGAAGATAACATAAAGAAAAATCTAAATAGTCAGTTGTCCCACCAAAATAGCAAATCTATGAAAGCTGAAGATCTACTATTAATAAAGGATAACACAAAACATGAATTTGATCAGATTAAAGATGGGACAGGTAAAGCTCTTAATAAACTAGAACGACCTGCTTCCTTAAAGCCTTTAACTGATTTAGTGAATGGTCAGAAGACAGAAGATAAAAAGGGAAAGATTATTTCAAATAAGTTGATAAAATCATCATCAAAACACAAAGAAGTGAAAAAGAAGAAAAAATCTGAAAGTGCTACCAGTAGTATAGACAAGGTCATGGATGAAACGAAAGTTTTGGATACTTTGGGGCATTCAGACTTTACAAATGAGATTACAAAACAGTCTCTTGAAAACTACATTCAAACCTGGTTGCAAAATGTATATCCAAAGGCTGCGAGGCCTCCCAAACACTGTGCTCCTATAAACTCGATTAACAAAAAATCACATCACCCAACAGTAAACTCATTCTTAGATAAAGAAAGTAAAGAAACTGGGAGGGATAATATTCCTGAAGATCAACTGAAGACTACATTAAATAATCTCAGTGAAGTGCAAGCTTTGGAAGAATTATTTAAAGAATTGTATGAAACACACACAGATTGTTTAAGAAATGTTGATGGGATCTTGAAAGATGAAGACAAATATTTAATGCCATCAGATACCCAGGAAAAAGCAAAACTTTCCATGTGTGATATACATAAATATAAAAAGAAGCTTCAAGAAGAAACTGATCATGCAAGATGTAATTCTGAAATAAATGCTCAAGATGATCCTAAATCTGTCCCAGGTACTGAGAAATATTGCAAAAATAGTCTTTTGCTACAGAAGTTAAAATCAGCAATTTCCCATCTCGAAAGAAACAAAACTGGATGCCTCCAAAACTTAAATTGTCTTTCAGATGTTTTTTCTTCTTCTCTCCTTGGATCTCCTTCCAATCTCCTGCTAGTTTGGCTTCTACTAAACCTGAAAGAAAGTTTGCCCTTTATAAATAAAGATGAAATGGTGGGAACTAGTTGCAGTTGTTCAGAAATCTTTATACTATCACAATATTTGAAACAGGTTGCAGCTAAAGAAGATGATAAAAACTTAATGACAGCTGCTTCTGATGTGGAGAATTGCACAGCAAACTGCTTAATATTTCCTGGGGTGCAAATAGAAAAACAGGAATTAACATATTGCCAAGAAAATATTGTTCTGATTGAAACTAAAAATATGCCCGGCACTGAAGAACAAGAAAAACCAAACAAGAATTTAATCCTGAATGAGAGTTTAAATTCTGAAGAAGTTTTAGATGTGAAAGAGGTAGCAGAAGAGTTACAGAGCAACTGTGAAGAACAGCAACCATGCAGCAGGCCAGCAGAAAA